TTAGTAGAGTTCAAATAATAGTGTGTAATATTGCTTCAATATAATTTTATTTATAATAATATCACTCTATTTTCCGAATTTTTTTAATCTAATATACTCAAGTATAAAAGTGTAATGTGAAGCAAACTAATTAATAGAAGAAGTCATACTTTGCAAAATTTTGGAACAATGTTCTTTTTACCTTGTATATTTTTGATGAATTTTTATTGAATCAGAGAATAGATCAAAAAGAACGGAAGATATTATCAAGTTTATTTATTTTTAAGATAAGGAGAAAAGAAAGCGTAATTTTATCAGGAAACATTCAAATTTTATTGAACTTCTTGCATATAGGAATATTTTAACGAAAAACAAAATCATCCCTTAACTCTGTAGGGAAAACTAAGATCATTGAAGGTATACTAAGGATATGAGTGTCATTCGATTTCAAGTTAAGTTTTCTTTTCAACATAAAATGTAAAAGGTCAAAATATATTCAATTGTATGAGTACGATGATATAAAAAACCAAAAAAAAGATGAAAAAAATTAATTTAGGTCTTGTTAAAATTTCAACCCTGCTAAATCTTTTGTTTAACAAAATATTTTGAATCGTTTATCTTATGGGTAAATTTTGAAGGATTTTGAAAGTTTTCATTTATAATTTGATGTCTATTTTGAATAGAAGTACTTCCTAATCCGACTACGGCTCGATTTCCTATGTTTTTTATCGATGAAAATCGCACATTTGTATGTTTAAAAATGTATTTTTATTTGACTGAGTCTCTGTCACATTAAGATTATTTAATATCAGTATCGAAACGAAAGACTCATACACTCTTTTGTATTTTCTACATAAAATGAACAATAATCCATTGTTAAATTCTATGTCGAAGCGGAATAAAGATGATCTCTAAATTAAGATGCATATTTAATCACTCATTCAGATGAAATATTCAAAACGGCATCTCAATCGTTTAAAAAATCGTATGGAGTGCATGCTTGACTTCATGATATACCCCTAAATAAAACTAACACAATCATTTTTTCAATGCTAAAGTTTCATTCTTGTAAGCTCAAATGAAGAATTTCTATTATTAAATCTCTGTTTATTATCGTCTTAGCGAAAACATGTATTTCACAAGAAAATGAGCTTATATTGTGTGATGATCAATCAGATAAGGCATCATATTTATCATATCTAAGAAAAATATCAGAAGACGCAACATTATGATTACTTGGTAGAACTAAAAACAAAATTAGTTCTAAATCAAGCACATTTATTATACTTTCATTAGAAAAAAACGAAAATAATTTTCACCTTATTGTGGATCTATCATCAAAAAGAAAAAGCAAAGATAGCTTTATACTTTTATATAATCGAATGATTTTTTTAGATATGAAGCCAGTATGCTGTTTAGCTCACGTCTATCATCTCATATGTGATTGATTTTGAACTTGCTACTATAATAGCTTGGACAAAAAAAAGATTTTGAGTGTGAGTATGCGTAAGAATCCAGGTTAGATTTTAATTTTTCTCTTGATACAATACACATCTTCACAGCATTCACGTCTGATTCTTCTGTCGATCCACAACCACATTTATACTGTCACCTTTATCACGCTCACCTCACACACTCTTCATAATTGAACCAGCTGATAAATGTCGTTTTGATGACTTCGATCGTATGGCTGACCCGTGGACTAATTAGTCTAGTCCCAAATTAGACATGAATACCATGGTCATTCTTTCGCTATGGTTTAAAATTTTTTTCAACAAAGTTAAACAAAATAACTTGGACTGTACTTAACTATTGGATAATAGTTTAATATAATAGAGAAGAAAGCATAATATGTCTCACCTATCTAGTTTCATAGTATTCTATGATCTAAACTGGAATCAAATCATTTGACAATTTTTCAGACAACATCAAGCTTGACTAATAAAACGCTTGTTTTTAACAAAACATATAGATAAACTTTGATTTCAAGCTTATTTCATTCACTGAAATTGAATACTTTTTCCATTTAGACTTTGATACTAAAGATAAGACTGTGTGCGACTCATAAATGTAATTTTTACTACTTTATTTGAAGATTTTTAGAGAAAACAGACACTGTAAGTTGTGATAATCATCGATTAAGAGCAGTCTAATTGATATTGGATACTTGATATTTGAACGCCTGTCATTTTCATTGCAGCTTTCATTTAATTCGAGAGCAAACTAAGAAAAGAGCAAAAGATTGCATTTAATATCCTTTTCAAAAGATATTGTGGCGCATTTATATACATATATATATCACTATATGTAGGTTTTTTTTAAACATCGTCATTCAAATCATTGCTTACACTACTTTCTGGTATGATGTACGCACTCTTATCAATCATTATTTTGTGTTTGGCTCAAGTGGCGTCAGGTATATTTTTCACAGTTTTTTTTTGTAATTGATTTATCTCAATGTTATGTTGAAAATACAAAGGTAACCGCCAGTTGCTACGTTGCGTTGTGTGGGGTGACCCTCATTTGGTACCGTTTGAAATTCCAAATAATCCTAACAACCAAGATGTTGACTTATGTACCTCAGTTCCTGGTCATGTTAAGATGTTTCGAGATAAATTTGCATCAATTACCTATTATAGTAAAGCAGAAAATTATCATTTGATGACGGACGTATGTATCTATATCATATATTTTGTTGTTCATAATTTTTTCACTTGACGATATATTAGTTTACGATTGTACTGTTTGATGAGAACAGTACTCCTTTTTGCACAATCAACATACTCGATTTCAATACGAACGGTACTCGATATTGTGGCCCCGCAAATGGTTTGTCTTTTTTTTCTTGTTTTTGAAAATTCAATAATTTCTTTTGAAAATCTTCAAATTTCGTAACACAAACAATCAGAACTTGTCTCTGACGCTGCTTCCTCTATCGAACGTCACACAATGGAAACTTACTAGTTCAACCTTCTCGCTCCCAAAGATTTGGCTACAGCCTTTCCATAAACTTTTTTACTGAAAGCAATGCTGTTCAAACATAAAATGATAAAGATTTTCAAGATGACTAGAAAATCTATGTTATTTTCTGGTTTAAACAGAATAATCTTGATTTATCTATTCTAATCAATCAATATCAAACTAAAATTGCGTGTGAATTGAGGCATACTTGAGATTTATACCCACATTCATATTTACAATATTTGCCTTATCCGATGAATGAAAAATTTAGTTATTTGATTATAAATTTATGATGCAGGAAGCAGTGTTGGAAAGAAATCATTTTAGATCCGCAGCTAGAAATGCAAAGATATCATTCATGTTGACTTTATTAAACTATTAAACGTTTTTTCAACCACTCTTTGATATTGATTGTTTAGAAGTGGCTATTGTCACACACATACTATACAGCATAAACGTACAATACAAACAAGCATCACTATCGATTTGGTTGAAGAAACTGGTATAGTAAAATGTTCTGTACAAATATTTTCGAATTCACACCGATATATAAGTCGAATAGTGAATCATATCAAAAAATATCAAATTCATTTAAGCCAGTTTCACATTGAGTCCATCAAAGCGATGTTGTGAAATTTCAAAACATCCGTCTAAGCTAAATGCAGGTTCAGTTTCGTATCGGTGTTTGAGTCATTCATTTTGACCTCAAAGCTAGAGAAAAGTTACTAGAGATCATCGGATACAATCATATTTTGAATGTTACTGCGATTTTCACTGATTCTTTTCTATTGAAAATGTATTCAAGAAAGGATTGTGAAGTTAGATAAATATTTATACATGAACACTGCTATTACTATGGCCTATAAGCAGTCAAGCATTCCTACAACTCTTTGTCTTTTTAAAATAACTAGCTTTGGCATGTCCCATACTATGACATAGAAATCTGGTCGTCGATCGAAAATGTAAAATCATCTACTGGCGTCTGTCTTGAAGGTTGTGATACACAACGCTCTACAAAACCGCTAGTAAAATTAGGTGAACGTAATCTTAATGTAGAAGAAACCATTGTCAGTGTACTCGCTCCACAAATGTGCGATGTATATATGAATGAACTCAAACGAAGAACCCCTGAACTGTTTACTACATCAAATGCACAATTTTACGCAAATGGCATTCAACAAGCATGCATCCAAGATGTTAGATTGACTGGGAGTACGAAGGTAAATAACCATCTTGAATAATCTAGAATAATATCTAAGCAAAGTGATGTGTTTTAATATTTTGCATACGAGCATGAATCCAACAAGCATTCTTTTTGTGATATAGAAGACGACATCCAAAGCACTTTTTTTTGTTGCCATGACTAGATCTATAATTGATACTCTTACAAGGAATCGCACAAAGTTGCTTTTATCATTGTGAACGAAGTTCTCATAAGATCCACACCTATACTCTCCATTAGGAAAAAATAAAAATCAACAATGAATCTTGCAGAAGAAGGATGTTTATTATTTGCTT